AGAAGCAGGGATAAGATGCAGTTTCCTATCCCTGTCTCTCTCCATACACTGGCCGGCACCGGTATTGCAGTTGATTTTAAATCTCACACGAAAAATATCAGAACAAGCTGAAAAATCCAGGGGGGGGGGCAAGTGCGCCCCCTTGCCCCCCCCTCCGGACGCCCATGTCAACTTGTCACATTTTGTTATGGACACAAATACTGGCCAAACGGGCCCTTTAAAGAGCCACAGTGAGTTTGGCTAGTATTTGTGTATATAATAAATGATACCTTTTGTCTTTCTCTCTCAGTGATTTCACGGGTGATATAGCTGCGCCATCATTTTATTTAGCGCCAATCCATTATTTATTTATTTTTGTCTAATCGTTCACTTTTCGTAACACATTGTCCCTGTGTATGTTTTTTATAAAGATTGTTCCCGGTCTCCTTCCCTCTTCCCCTCTCTCTGCTTAACGCTGGACGGACATCGATCTTGGAGAGGAGATCACTAATTATGTCCTCGCTCCAGAGATCCCAATCTGAGAATGCGAAGTCTGTGGATTCGGTCATGGACTCCTTGCGTGTGATTTGGGGCACATTGCTTGCTGATAAAAGCCACATGTTCTGCATGGGGGCTGGGTCCTGTATCCAGTGATACCTGTAACAGATGCTGTGCATCAAAGGCCAGACCTAACAGCTGTGGAGACCCCTGTCTTTAATGATGTGAGGAGCCTTTCTCAATACCGTCAGATCTGTATCTGGATTTCCTCCATGCTTCTCCCAACCTGGGAGATAAACCGAGGGAGTGCGCAGGCTGAGAGAGTCCGTGCATGCACCGACACAGAATATAATGAAAGTAATGATTGGCACTGGTGTGTGATTAGCATATCTCTACCCAGAATCCTCAGCTGTGTGCTCAGATCTCTGGGGAAGTAGTGTGGTTCTGTGATATGGTTGCTGCTCTACTCACTATATTATAATGTATCTATATCAGGGAATGTCAAACGTTAGGCCACAACCTCCTTACAGCGTCTCTTTAATGCTGTTATACAAGCAGGGTCCGGTTTACATGTCAGACGCTTCTAGGCACAAAATTCTCAGACATCCCCTGCTCCCCAACCCCAAAATAAAGCAGATAAAGAACAATTAACTGGACATCGCAGGACAAAAGACATAGGAAAACAGATTCATATTTGACAACTGCGTGTGTATAAATGTATGTATGTGGGTATTTCTGCTCTGCTTGTAACGTATTGTATTGGAATCTGTGAGCATAATGAGTGTATGTAGCTGTGTAAATGTATGCAAAGTTTGAGATAATGTTAGAAGTGGTTATGGTTTAAGGTTAGAGAGGGGTTAATGTCAGAGTTAGATTACAGGGTGTTTAGTGTTAACAAGACCAACAGCTTGAGAGGGGTTAAAGGGAATATATAGTGCCAGGAAAACAAACTCGTTTTCCCCCTCCAATGCTTTCCTATGGGATTTTGGGTGAAGCTGGATGTCCCCATACATAGTGTGAGGACGTCCAGCGTCAGTAAGGTGACCATAAGTCGCCCAACAGCCCAGATGTCCTTCTAGTGGCTGTCTGGTAGAAAGCTCCTAGAGGGGAAGTTAAGCCTGAATTGTAATTATTTCTGTTTATTAAAATCTGCAATAATTACCTGCTCAGGGTTAAGGGACTCGGGACACTGCACCCAGACCACTTCAATAAGCTGAATTGTTCTGGGTGCCTATAATGTCCCTTTAAATATGTAGAACAAGGGCTCTTTAGGATTGTTGAGTTTAGGATTAGAGTGGGGTAACATTTAGTATTGGGGTACATGAAGTGCTTAGTTTTTAGCAGGAGTTAAACATAGGATTAAGGTAAATGGTTTATTTTCAGGTTTAGGCTTTGAGTGTTAGAGTTTGAAGGGTTATTTACAAAGTACTCACCCTCCTCCTTCTTTAGAGCAGTCAGATTGATGATATTAGAGCTGCAGGAGCTGTTATACGTTGTGCATCACTCAGCATTGTCCCTGCTCCTCCTACAAGGCATTTCCTATGTGAGAGGCTGTTAGTGACAGATGGGAAGTGATCTCCTCCAATTTTCTGTCCATCCTCACACAGACACTGGAGGCTCTGAAAATGCAGAAAGACAGTATCATTTTGGAAACACGTTTTTGACATAATTAACTGCCTTCTCTTGGTGTAAATACTGAACCCATTATTGCTCCTACTAAATACTGTCACCTCCCGGATTAAGCAATTCAGCACTGAAGTTATCTCACAAGACATGTACTGCAGCATGATGTGGAGCATAGGCGGAGGGAGTATGTACCACAGATTGATAATATGCCGAAAAAAATAAAAACATTTATAATGTGGAAGTACTATCTGCTGATGGTCGGCAACGTCCGTTCTCAAAATAAGATCTCGTCCCCATGGAGACAATACTTGGCCTCTTCTCCTGGTAACTGATTTGTTCTGTTAATAAATATAATTTCATCAAACGTGTTTTTTTTTCTTCCTTTCTGACAGATTCATAAATGTCTATTCTCGTCCCTCACCATCCCTTCCAACTTCATCTACTGAAACATGATTTCTCTTAGCTTTCCGTTTTTGCTAAAGCTCTGATTTCACTTCCGGCTGTGTGCTTTACTGTAACTATTCTCAACTATTTTCCTTCCATAACCCACCCTTAATTTGGCCTAAAATTAGAAATTCACTTTGAATTAACTTTAGGGATTATTTACAAAAGTGAGAATTCAAAGTGAAAATAGCCAAAGTGGAAGAAGTCATCTTTGGATTCAGCTACTCTGGGTTTAAATTGAAATTCCCTTTAAATTCTCAGTTTTAGTAAATATCTCTGGCCAGGTTGTGTAGTCCACACTAGAATAAAGATAGAATAGCTCCAGGTATAGGTAAAATAACCCAGAGCAAATAGCAGAAATAAACCAAAAAACTAATGAGGGCCGTAGCCTAAACCATGAGTCCTAACCTCACTAAGATACCTCCAATGTTAGAACATTCTAAGGAAATAGAAAATAATAACTTTATTAGTAACTCATTTGTTTTTTAGTCCACTCTACATGTTTTTCAGACTTGTTTTTGTTGTTACTTCTTGCTGTGATTGTCCCCCGTGTTCTCTTATCTGTCTCACTATCTTCTGTCTGTTAGTCCATTTCCTCGCCCCATTCATTCTCCAATAATTGTCCACATTCCAGGATTCCGAATCACAGTCTGTAAGTGACTCCTGCAACATTTCGATCCTTTTCTCCACTTTGTGTTTCTCAGTAAATTAAGTATTTAAATATACATATACACACGTCACACAAAATGTCGCCAATTCATTCAGCTGTGAACTTGTTTCTAAGCACACAAACTTTTTAAAGTTTTATTTTCAAACTTTCTTATTACCGTGAGTAGTTCAGATTCGGCAAATATAAGGGCCATAAAATAGGGATCGACCGATATTGATTTTTTAGAGTCGATACCGATATTCTGTGAACTTTCAGGCCGATAGATGATATAATTTGCCGATATTCTGTACATTTACCATTTTGGAAAATAAAAACTATTTCTAAAGGTAAATGCACAAAATATACATGCCACGTATAGTGGATGCTGTGTGTTTAGGCAGGGGAGCTGTGTGTGTTTGTGTAGTGTGTGTAGTGGATACAGTGTGTGTTTGTGTAGTGGATGCAGTGTGTATTTGTGTAGTATGTATATAATGAAAGCAGAGTGTTTGTGTAGTGTGTGGGTAGTGTGTGTAAAGTGAATGCAGTGTGTGTGTAAAGTGAATGCTGTATATACTAAATGCAAAGTGTTTGTGTACTGTGTGTATATAATGAATGCAGAGTGTGTGTGTATTTGTGTAGTGTGTGTATAGTGAATGTAGTGTGTTTATATAATGCAGTGTGTGTGTTTGTATAGTGTGTGTATATAATGCAGTGTGTTTATTGTAATAGCACCCCCAGTCATAAAAGGGGTTAAAAGCCGTTTAGGAGATATTCCCTTCCAGATATACAGGCAGCTACTGTAGACACCAATCCACCGAATCGGAGAAGCATACGAATGCTGTAAACAGCCGAATAGGAAAAAACCATACGAATAGGTTTACACTCCTAGCAGTCGAACTGGAACAGCATACAATAAATCCCATCAAGAACGAGACAGAGCTCCGTTTTGAGGGTCAAGCAGTGGTCAGTCAGAGCTGTGGGTTTATTGTTCTTATATACACATTAGTACCACCCACAGGGTTTTGGAAAACAACCAATAAACACATACAATACACTCAGACACTCCCACACAAAATCCTCCCCTCTGCCTGTGATACAATTACCTTACACAATGGGTAATGTAATTATCATAGCCAGAGAAATACAGTTTTTCCACATTATTCATAACTTGAAAAGTATGCATCACATTCACATAGAATTTACATTTTCAGAATCAGCATAATCCAAATACAAACATACATCATCCAAATTGATCAATTGGTTCAAAAAATAGATCGAAGTCCTTTGTGACCAAAGGAAGCATGGCTTTTCTGCCCAAAACCAGTTCCACAGAGTCTTCTATCCTGGAGATAATTGGGAAGTAATCCAATTATCTCCAAGGACAGAGGCAAAACTCCATTAAGCACATGGCAGTAAAAAGACAGTAAAATACAATAAAATACACAAGGTTACATTTATTACATAAAATACAGGCATGCAACATATCCCCAGATAGCTTAGGTCTGAGCGCACATTATTACTGAATGGCTCTCAGACCACACACATACAGTTCAATTGCCATGGAGCCAAAGTCTTTTATTACACGAATAGGCTCCATGACATAGTTATCTGGGTTAAATTAGTTCATTCAGTAAATCCGAGAATCTACCGAACGCCAGGGCAGAAATACAGGAATAGACCTTTCTGCATAGGAAAATAAAGTATTTAAATACCGGTCCATAGTCAAAAGGCAGCAGGCAGGCAACCAGGCTCCTCCAATGCACAGTGGCGAGATTGGTCTCGTCACATTTATATAATGCAGTGTGTTTGTATAGTGTGTGTATACAATGCAGTGTGTTTGTGCAGTGTGCATTATATAAACGCACTACACAAACACACTGCATTATATACACACACTATACAAACACACTGCATTATATACACAGTGTGTTTGTGTAGTGTATGTGTATATAATGGAGTGTGTGTGAGGGGGCATTTTTTATTAAATTATTATTTTTTTTTTTATATTTAATTATTATTATTTTTTTTTGTTGTTCCCTCTCCCTGCTTGTTACCTGGCCAGGGAGGGGGGATATAGCAGTCCCTGGTGGTCCAGTGACATTGGCTGAGCTGTGGGGGGGGCCGGCAGCAAGCGTTTACTTACCTCCCAGCAGCTCCTCCAGCTTCCCAGTGTAAGTCTCGCAGCCAGCGTGCCGCACAGAGCGTTGCCATGGTAACCTGTGGCAACGCTCTGACGGCCGCGGGTCTCGCGAGACTTACACTGGGAAGCTGGAGGAACTGCTGGGAGGTAAGTAAACGCTTGCTGCCGGCCCCCCCAGGATCGCCGGGCTTGTAATGAGTAGGATGTGAGGAGTGCTTGTTTGTTGGGATGAGCTGAAAACATGTGGTGTTGAATGCCTGGGAGATATAACTTAATAGTGTTGTGTGACATTTTATTTGATGTGGCAAAAAATGGCGAAAGCCCCAAAGTTGTATTATTAAACCAGTTTGTAAAGTGGTGATCTGACATGAACTTCGATATATGCAGTAAGCTCTGTCATAACAGTGTGCGTATTCTTTGAGGGCCATTTTGTGTGAATTCCTGCTGTGACTTGGCACATTGGAATCTTCTATTCCGTTTGTAATTCTTGTAGCTGGGGAGCGATCGTGGCTATCGGTGAGGCAGTTGTTAGGGACCTCCTGCACGTCTGAAATTGAAGACTATATAACTGGTCAGCCGCTGTATTGTAAATGCCTGGTACGTGGTAACAAACCAGATAAAATTTGGTGACAGGCTGCCCCCATGTTAGTCGTCTGATGAATTTCATAATAAGAGATAAAGGTCGGCCTTGTTTATGATGAGGCAAATTGCCAAATTGTCAGAGACCTCGAACTGGTCTGCCTGCCCCTAAATTACCCCATGTTGCTGCTGCGGCTACGATGGGATATACCTCGAAGCATTCAGAGTTCTTATGGAATCCTTCGATCTGGCTTACTTCTTCCAGCCACCTACCCCATAGCCAACTGTCCCCTGAGCTTGCAGCAAGCCCTGTGCCAGCCGCTGCATCGGGGCGACTACATATGTAGATTAACCTAGTTAAAGACATATCTATGCATAGGGAAGAGACACCTAAATATGTTGTGCCTAGGTGAGTTCCCGCTGGGCATCCTTCTGCTAGAAGAACCTGAAATAAGTATGACGTATGTGGGACATTTCTAGTTTACCAGCAGGAACTAATATTGGAGATCCCGTAAGTGTCTGTGACTGGAGTTGTAAATACCAAGAAAGGCCGTATAGGGAGGATTTGAGTGGTCTAATGTGACCTTGGTCGGATGTAACTTCCCAAATGTGGGGCTGAAATTGAGTCGTAGTGGATTGCCCGCGGTGGGCGGTATGCAACATGAAAGTGGTGGTCTAGTGAGGGCCACGTGTAGAGGCATGCTGTGGTAGGTTGTGACAAAGTGCAAACTTATGTCAAAATTGTCATTCCTATGCCGTATGTAATAGCCCAAATGAGGAGCCGACATTATGCTATAATGGATAGCCCTTTGGCGGGTCGTATGTAACATTTAAAGAGTGTGGTTGTGAATAAAAGTTGGCCCCTGTAAGCTGGAATTACTTAAAAGCCTAGATGCTGGGTAAGGCCGTGCAATAGGCCTTGAACGTGCATGGCTAATTTGGTAACTCGTACCATGATTGCCAGAGCAGTCAAATAGCCAGGGAAGTGGGAAGGACAGTATAAATATCATGTATATGAACTGGTCTAATACACAGCGGTGAGGTGGGAATAGTCCAATATGGCATTGGCTATGTAAGCACAATGGCGGCTGACTAGTAAGATTGACCCAGGGAAACTTAAATGACCCACATGATAAATTCAGTACGTATCATAATGTGATCGCATCGTAAATTGACCATATGCTAGACTGAAGTAGTAAAATAAGGGAGGTAAGGAAAACGGGCGTTATTAGGGAATTATTACCTTCTGTGCGTTTAGCCAGGAGTAGCCTGTGTAGGTAGAGGAGAGCCACTGTGTGGCCGTATGTGTACACTGCAAGATATAGCAGATGTATAATACTATAAGACGTGGTTGATTACAGGTAGAAAGCTGTGAGATAGCTGAACATTACACATACATTCCTATCCAGATGATATGTGAACTTAGTGCCCCAATGAGGGGTTGCAAATCAGACGTAGTTGTTCACTAAGGTTACCTGAAGTATGTTGCCAAGATGGCTTTGTGTGAGGACTA